CACAGTAACAGATTAAAACCTTTAGATAAACCAAACATTACCGCCACATACTGTATCTGACTCAATAACTATTAAAACAACTATTTTCATTAATTTCAGACGGAACTATTCACAGAGTTGTATTATTATATTAAACTGAACTTCAAATTTTCACAACTGTTCTGCGCCAAGTAACATTTCCTCTGATCACGGAGCAAATCCCGATGATGAGACATTTGTTGTTTCAATATCCCCCCCCCCCCTCCAAGGTGTCCTGGTTTTCCCAAATGAAAATATGGTCACCCTACTTTAGAGTAGTATACTGGATTTGTATCTTGACATGCATCTGTACTTGTCCTGTTAGATCTCAGTGCTGCATTTGATACAGTCATAATATTATTTTACAAAGACTTGAATATTTTGTAGGAATTAAAGGAACAGCACTAGACTAATTTAAATCCTATCTATCTGATCGATTTCTGGTTGTTGACTTGACTGAAAAATCTTCCTCATGCTCAAGGGTTACCTGTGGAGTACCACAGGGATCAGAACTAGGAGCAATTCTCTGTCCTATATATATACTCCCAGTCAGCAGAATTATTAGACAGCATGGGATTAATTTCCACTGTTATGCTTATGATACTCAGCTATATTTGTCTATAAATCCAGATGAAGCTAACCCATTACATAGATTACAGGCATGTGTTAAAGACATAAAAACTATTGTAATTCTTAATAATCAGGAAGTCCACAAACTGTAGTTAAAAGCCTTCAGCTTATCCAAAATTCTGCAGCCAGAGTTCAGATGAAAATTACAAAAGAAAGATCATATCCTAGCTTATCTTCATTGGCTTCCTGTTAAATAAAAAATATATTTAAAATCCACCTTCTCACATTTAAAGCCTTAAATGGCCAAGCTCTATCTTATATCAGAGATATGATTGTTCCTTATGTTCCTAACAGAGCACTTCACTCTCAATCTGCAGGTTTACTAGTGGTTCCTAGAATTTCTAAAAGTAAAATGGGGGGCAGATATTTTCGTTATCAGGCTCCTCTCCTGTGGAACCAACTACTAGTTTTAGTCAATGAGGCAGACACCCTGTCTACTTTTAAGGGTAGGCTTAAAACCTTCCTTTTTGATAAAGCTTATAGTTAGAGGGGCTCAGGTGATCCTGAGCTATCTATATAGTTATGCTGCTATAGGCTTAGACTTCTGGAGGACAAAGGGAGCCCTATTTCATTATTCTGCTTCATTCCATCTCTATTCTTCCACTCTGGAGAAGCTTTTAGTTCAATCTCTAACATTATGCTCTCTCTGCTTTTTCTTGTAATAGCTTTGCCTTGTGTGTTCCTGTTTGGCTGTGACAGCATCCTGGAGAGGAGTATCGGCTGTGCTGCTGCTATCAACACCTTTGTTTATAGATGTCCGAGATCTCCCTGTTTTTCAGTGTAGTCCTATTTCTCTGACTGGGACTGGCTGGATGCACTATCTGGCTGAGAGCACATGGGAGCTGGCTCGGAACTGGTCTGCCTGGCTGTGATTTTCCTGGATGGGGACGTCTTTTACAGTTTCCTTTCGTAGCTTTGCTTCTGTCTCCTTGAACCCCATTCAGCCTTGGTAGATGGGCGCTCACACTGAGCCTGGTTCTGCTGAAGGTTTCTTCCTGTTAAAAGGGAGTTTTTCCTCTCCACTGTCGCTACAACATGCTTAGTGTGAGGGATTGCATTTCAGTCAATAAGTCAATGCAATCAAATGGTTTTCCTTAGATAGAAAACTTTGAATTAATTTGACTGTATGATCTGGTGAACTGTAAAGTGCCTTGAGATTACATATGTTGTGAATTGGCGCTATTTGAATGAACAGAATTGAATTGAATTTCCAAATGTGAAACATATCTGGCAAATGCTCCAGATGGGGACGATTTTCCAGAGTGCCTCGCGTCTAAATACTTATGTAAAAGCAATGAAAATGTTACTAAAGTATACACTTTGATAAATGTTTCACATTTTAAAACAGAGGCAAGCAGAACAGAGAAATGTTTTCTTTATTGATTTTCCAGAAAGAATTGTATCTCATATTTGAGATATGAGAAACAATCCTGAGTGCAACATTGGAAACACCCATGCAGTCTATTGCCTAAAGACAGACGAGGATCCTACCTCACAGCTGCTGATGTCCAAATAAAGGTCAGTGATATGAGGATTTGATGTCAACCCCATCAGGACAGCTCTGATTATAAAATAATGAAGAAAGAAATTGAGAGATAAAGAATGGTCTGACAGGTACAGTTTCATACCTCCATCTGCTGCCTTTCTGCTTTCTTTGCAAGAGAATTAAGATTTAAGTGGCTGTGACTTGAGTAAGAAAATAGCAGAGGACTTGTCAGATACCTCAAAACATCAGGGGGCAACTTCATAGAGGCGAAGCTGACATGAGTGAGACTGAAGGCCGAGCTGAAGAACTGACGTAATAACGGCAGTGTATCCTTCACTTTCCTGTGAAATTAGGGGAAAACAGGAGATCAAAGAGGAGTAATGCAGAGGTGAGGTAAGCCAATCTACACAGAGGGGGAGATGACAATCACTCCAAGTTGAGAATATAAAGACGAAACCAAAATGCTCCAATGATGTCTGCAGAAATTTATTTTTAATCTCCCACTGAGGAGATGAATATGAGCAATCAAATATCAGAGAAATAAATGAAGGGAAATCAATGCAAAACAGTGAAGATCAAGTGTGGTGACGTTAATTTCAGATAAATTTGGGATAAAAAAAACAGTGCCTTACAAAAAACAGTGCCTTACAACTAAATAAACAAATTTACTGGGATTTTGTTTTAAAAAATATGAAAATTATTTTTTGTATTATTTTTGCAAATATCCCTCTTTACCATGATACAACCAAATGAAAACTGCAGCATCAACTTGTATCCAAAATAACCAAATAATAGTGACCCTGTGTTTAATGCAAACCTAGTGTCCAGCTTTTCTGTGGAGGCCTCAGAAGTTTGTCAGAGAACAGCTATGACCAAACACCATCGTAAAGCCAATGCTGTTAAAAAAATCACTTTGGACATTTTACAGTTCATCTTCTGGAAACAGAAAGAGTACAGCATGGTCGGAAACAAGGGTTGTGCATAAATGAGAAAGGATGAATATGCAAAAATATTGCTGAATCACTAAATAAAGATGTTGATGGGGGAAAAAAACCTTTTTAAGACTCAAAATTCTCTCCTTGAGCTTTAGGTTGAAATGTTAGTTGAAATTAATCAGCTTAAGCTTAATGTTGTTGGGATCTGGAGCTGTTCCACCTTTCTCCAGCAGAGTGCGCCGTGGATCCTCCTGAGCTGAGCCTTCAACACACCTGAGGCACATCTCATCATTAGAGGATCCTCCAGTATATAACCTGCCTTCAGACCTTGCCTCAACGCCGCAGT